TATTTATTTCTTTAAAACATATAAAAAAAATTCAACATTTGCCTATTTAGAAGTTATGAGCAGAAAACTAAGAGAGTCCACGTCACGCATGGACGTGTTATGTTTGTTTACTGACGACATACATAGCTTAAATGCAATATTGCTTTTCTTAGGTTAGGTAGTTTAAACTTGGCATACAGAACTATTAGATTAATTGATGAAGAAACTGGTAAGGTAGTGTGGCAAAATCCTGTTCCCTTTTCTGTGCGGTTTTGTCGACCAATTTTAATTGAGTTTTCTAAAGAGACTCCCGAGAAAACAAAAGCCGTTGTGGATAATATACAAAGTCAAATTGATAGTTTGAGTCCATCGGTAATTACAAAGCAAGGAAAAGCAATACAAATCAAACATAATATGTTTTTCACCATAATAGATGGAAAAGTTGCCCAAATAATAACAAGTACACCTTCATGTTCCACATGTACTATTTGCGCTGCTAATTCACGAATTATGACGAATTATGATAATTCATGAATAATTTAGAAAAGGTGGCAGCAAGACCAGAAAATGATAACGCATTTCGCTATGGTTTATCAACACTACATGCCTGGATACGTTGCATGGAGATGATTTTAAATATATCATAATATAATCTATCCTTCCGAAAGTAGTCTGCTACTACCGAAGAAAATAAAAAATTAAAAAAAGATAAGAAGCTTTGGTCAAAGCAAATAAGTGGTAATACAAACGATGGAAATACTGCTAGAAGATTCTTTTGTAATGCTTCTTCTTCAGCAGAAATTACGGTGTCGACGAAATATTGATTAAGCGATTTTATATAATTCTTCAGGCGGTGTTATGGTAGATCCAGAAAAATTTGGAAAATATGCGATAGAAACGGCAAAAATATACATTAAAAGTTATGACTGGTATTACATGCCATCTTCCGTACATAAAATATTAATTCATGGTGAACGTATTATACGACATTTTGCAATTTTACCTATTGGACAGCTATCAGAAGATGCACAGGAATCTCAAAATAAAGATTACAAAAAATGTAAATTACATTATACACGAAAATGTTCTAGATATGCTACAAACGAAGATGTATTTCATACACTCCTTTATACATCAGATCTATACATAACGAATATTAGAAAGCAGTACATTAAAAATGTAAAGAAACTTGACGAAGAAACCCTAGCTCTTTTAACACAGCATCACCTGGTTTCTGAAACTTGAACAAGTTGAACAGTGCCAGGCAATGATGGAATAGTGGACGAGTTTAACATTATTATACATTGCATTATAATATTAAATTTATATCTTATATCTCAGATAGAGATTGTAATCTATTAGGGTTTTTTTCAAAAATAATATTACTTTGTAATATCGGTAATACTCATAAAAAGGAATAAAATATACATATAATTGTGTATACTACTATAATTATTATAAACCTATAATTAAAATTGTTTAACATATTTTAACCCTGTTTTTAAGAGTTCTTGTATTTTTTTTTCGTAAACTCCATTATAATAACAAAACTAGAGTGCTCTACACTCGACTTTCTAACATTTTTATACGACTGAAAAATAAATTTTTGGAAAAATACCTTTAAACGGGCACTAAATTCAAAATAACTGTTGAATTTTCTCTATTTTAACTCCCATATGCAAAATCGCATGTGGCGGTGATTTGTTAAGTAAAATTTTAACAATTTATTTTACTAAATACCAGTTTATATGAAACAAATGGGTACAGGTTCAGGTAAAGTACTAAAGTAAATTTTGTATCTGACAGTTATTCATTCTTAGTCAGATTTTTACAAAATTTTATTTGTTAATCTCTATTTGCAAGTTTATATGAAACAATTTCAAAATCTGTTAAACTAAACTGCTACTTCCGGTCGACCGATTTGTTAAAAAAGTTGGTAGAGATCAACGGTCTTAATTTAATAACCGAATTTATATACCAAATAAAAAGTTTGAAATGAAACTTTATTAATGAGGCGCTGTTTATAATTATGATTAATTTTTAAAACCAGCGATTTCTTTTCGTTTTTATTTTTTTGTGCTGCTGTCATTCAGCCGATTTCAATAAAATGTTGGAACTACATATGTAGGCACCCATAATAGACACCCAAAAATGTGAGAAAAGATATATCGTGCCATTTAAAAAAATATATCATCATGGCGTCACACTTTTTTGGGACATGTATAATCAATAATAATTTCCTGAAATGCGGTCTGAGATACAGTATAAGCCTGCAAAATATTAAACTCCTAAATTAATTAATAACTGAGCTACAGAAGACGGGAGCTGAGCTGAAGGACCCTGTATACAGGTGAAATTATAATTATAATACATTCATGGACGATCAGAAAAAACAGATATCATCATTCTACCAGCAAAAAAGGGTAATGACAGCGTGGTCGTGAACATGAAAGAATACGAGGACAAGATCTAATCTAGAGAAATTCTAGTAGAACAACAAAAAAGTTTATTTGTACAGGTCCACGTACAACAAAGAATTTATGGATTACCTAAACTCCGTAAACCAGATATTGACAGTGCCATAAATTCTCCAACGTACTAGTTGGCGAAGTTTCTTGAAATGATTCAACACAAGTAAAACAAAATCATATATCAGAGATTTTACGCATTTTATGGAGTCAATTTCAAAATTCCAGTCAAAGTTGTACAAAGATGGCGTGCATGGTCTTCGCCAGAAACTCGTTCCGGAAAGTTTACCAAAACATGTTCAATCCACATATTTTAGCTGATGGCATCTTGAAAATATTTTAGATTGAAAGTTTAGAATGTGGAAGTTCTGACGAACCAGTTACGTGAGACACCTGTATAATAAATCATAAAATTAAAGAAAAATACAAAAAAAAATTTTTTAACTTCATGCACTAATGGGTTAACTCCATATAAACTCCAAGAAACTTTTTACCGATTTTGTTGTCGAGCATATTATCCGTACACTGGCGTAGTAAGTCCAACCTAAATCACAATTCGACCTCAGTCCAAAACTGGTGCAAAACTTCCTACTGTAAAGTAGGAAGCTAAGTAAAAATATTTATTTTTATTAATAACAGTGTTTTTTATCACATATCTGTTAGGGCTGTGACCATTGCATATGACTTAGGCCCGTTACTACCAAACCAATGCTATCTGTTAGTTAAGCTATCTATAAGATACAATTTATCTCGTAGATAATAGGGTCATGCGTACTACCACCTCCATTTATCTCATAGTTAAGAAATCCTTGAGATAACCGAGGAATCTAGGGATTGTTTGGTCTATTATGTTAAATTGATAGCTCTATGTGGTTAAAAGATCTACTATTAGGTATTTTGACGATATTCTAACCTGTTCTAACCTTAAAATTAAAATTTGGAAATGGAGACTGAGAAAAGGCGACGAACCACCAATTTCACCAAAGAAGAATGCGAACATCTTCTTAAATTTGTTATCAATTATAAAAACGTAATAGAAAACAAAAAAAGTGATGCAGTTACATGGCAAGGAAAGCAACAAGTATGTGTATCTCGTATTATTGTATGTTAAAATGTGATGGTAAACAATAATGGCACAACTAACTGAAGATGCCAATTGTACACTCATTCCTGCAAAATCTGCTATGGATAGCAACATGTTACCTATTGCATAAAACCGAAAAGTCAGCAACAAACGATTTCAAGGAGGTACAGTCGTGTTCACTGGACATGCCGCTGCCTAAATGGGCTGAGCTGAGCACACACGAAGCTCGTGGAGAAGGGACTTGTGGCGGTCCAGGTTAGCCAGCGGCATATCGGATCTCGCAACAGCGCTTGACCTTGAGTGTGCATTTCCTGTGAACACGACTGCACAACATTATTACTAAAATTTTGATAAATTTTACATTAAATAATAGGAATCAACGTAAATTACTTACGTCATGGATGGAGGTTTTATTAAATCTTCTATTTGATTCAAAAGGTGATGAAAACTTTTTTTCGAGACACGAAATGTCAACTCTACTCCTTATTATCCTTTCGCTTCTTACAGGAAATAATTCATTGATTTCTTCAAAAATTTGTTCTTCATCATCAATGTCGAAGAAATTATCCATGATGATTTTATCTAATGTTAATTATTAATAGTTTTTTATTCAAGTTTATATTACTTTTCTTATTTTAACTGAAATAGTAAAACGCTCGAATTTTATACGTCAGTATAAATCCTATTTGAGGTTAGGTATTCGCAGTTATCCCTGAGATAGCAATTTATCCTGCACCCAATCCACGGGTTACAGATATTTCAAAAGTTATCCCTTGGATAGCGGTATCTATAAGATAAATACAGTGGTAGTAACCAATTTTTAAGCTATCCGATAGATATCGCTATCAGAGACTTTAACTATGAGTGGTAGTAATGGGCCTTAGCCATACATTTGACTAAATGTGAAGATTAAAAAGAAAAGAAATATACCACAAGATGCACAATTATATTTTTAAGAAGAAAACAATAATTTGATTAAAGTATAATAATTAATAAAAATAAAGTTTTTCTAAATTGTACAATTAATAAATAAAGCAATAAATAGTAGTAGGTCTAAAAATAAATCAATAATCCGGGAGAAGAATTATCACAAACGTCAGTAACCCAATGGTTAAAACGCAAAAACGTTATTTACATCAACAAAAAAGAACGGAAAAAAATGTTACAGGACGATTTAATTTCAAAAGAAAAATATCAAATTTTTTTTACAATTTTCAAGTATCGATTATTATCGAATCCTAAAATTTATGTTTTATGGAAGTTATCCATATTATTATTACCTGTTTTCTTTCTTTTAAAAAGCACATTACAAGTACAAAAATGTGAAGCTCATATCTAAATATGTATATTAAAAAACGATTTTACTAAAAAATATACAGATTTTGAAAAATGTTTTTAAAAAATGAATTAAGGCTTTTCGCTATTTTTTTTAATCATATTTTACGCTATTATTACCTAAAAACTGTAAAAAAGTTATTATCGGCTTCCAATTTATTATTATACATGGTCTTCGTTGCCACCGTTTTCTTTACAAATGTGATGATTATTGTATATTTTTTGTAATGGAACGTGAAGTAATTCTACTATCCTTGTATAATGTGTTTCTAAAAATCGCAATTTTTAATTAATTAGTTTTAAATCGTATGAGTAAACCTACCGTTTTCGGGCGATATTACTCCGTGACGTAACAAAAAATCTAACGCGACCGGTATACTAGTTGTTTTAAAATCTGAACTAAATAACCTTTCTAAACATTTTTTCGCAGGCAGGAGTTCGAACTTTTGCACTTCGCCGTCAGCATTTTTTGGAACAAAATCCACCGGCAGTTCTACGTCAAACACAAATTCCGTGTTTGGAAATAATCCTTGTTCTGATTCGAAGTAAAACCTAATATAGAAATTAAAAAAAAACAATAATACAGTAATAAATAAAGAATCACAACATTTCATAATAATATAGTTTTTACTAGTGGTGGAACGGATATCCGGTATCCAGCCTATCCGGCCATTTGTTAAAATCCGACCGGATAGTCACCAAATATCCGGCTTCACCATTCACAGGAATTAATATCTCTTTTAGGTCTTGGACACTGCAGATAATTAGTGATGGTTCAGTATTTGAGGAACGATATTTTGGAGCATTATTCTAATGGAACGTACTATTCGGCGCGATTTTTAAAATACCCGATTCCAAACGTTATATTATAACGTTATACATATAAGACAGTCAGGTTAAACGCCGTTATATTGATATTTGTTTAAGGTTCCCTTAATATATTTTTTTTTTCAATTTTCAGGTAGCGTGTAATTTTTTTAACCCTAGGATGCATAAACCGGGCCTCTCAGGCCCGGCGAAATTATAGTTACTTTAGTTATTTTTTTGGTTAAGATACTAGGGTTAAATTATGATAATATATGGGAATATATAATTTTTTCTAACTTGCTACGAAACCAGCTATGTTTTTGCTCAAGGTCACGGTATTTTGGAACGGTATTTTTGTGTAGCGACCGTTCCTGGAGCGCGACACGATTATGAGCGGTATTCCCATCACTACAGATAATAATCAAGTTCAAACCCATAGGACTTTTTTCATTGAATACAACTTTATTTATATCAGGTTTGTCATTAGCAACCTTATTGTAGCAATCCCAATACGATATATAAAATCTTCTTCTCTTCGCTTGTAATTCATCATCACATTCATTACTAACAGAACTGTCGCTGTTATCACTTTCGATTATTAATTAAAGTATCCACTTTTTAATACAAGAAGCCGTTTTAAAAAATCGCTTTAGTTTTTGAGAAATAAATTTTTGAAATGATCGACAATTTTTTCGAATTTTGCAATTTGCATCGATTAAGTTTTAAAAATTCGTATAAAATCCAGTTCTTGGAATATGAGTATGAAAATTTCCCAAAGTGTTAATAAAAGTGTCTTCTTTCCAATGAACGAACCCGCTTTGAAAACTAGCTTTTAGTTTTTGAGAAAACAATATTTGAAGTTTTGATAAAATTTACGGTGTTGCAATTTTCATCGATAATTTTCAAAATTCACTATAAAATTAATTTCTTGAAGGATCCTTGTGGAAATATTACCAATTATTAATAAAAGTATCCTCTTTTTAATGCAACAAGCCATTTTGAAAAATCACGTTTAGTTCTTGAGAAATAATTTTTTGAAATGATCGACAATTTTTTCGAATTTTGCAATTTTCGCCGATTAAGCTTTAAAAATTCGTATATGATCTATTTCTTGCGATATGAGTATGAAAATTTCCCAAAGTGTTAATAAGAGTGTCCTCTTTCCAATAAACCAACAGGTTTTGAAAAATAACTTTTTCAAAACCAACACCGGAGAAAACAATATTTGAAGTTTTGATCAAATTTACGATGTTGCAATTTTCATCGATAATTTTCAAAATTCGCTATAAAATTAATTTCTGCAAGGATCCTTGTGTAAATAGTACCAATTATTAATTAAAGTATTCTCTTTTTAATGCAACAAGCCATTTTGAAAAATCGCTTTCAGTTTTTGAGAAATCCAAATAAGTTGACATATCTTATCAGCTTTCTTATTAATTTCATTTTTATTCAAATATCGCAATAATGTGGCAATAGAGGATATCCGGCCGAAGGGGATGCCGAATATCCGGCTTGTCGCAAAATCACTATCCGTTCCATCACTAGTTTTTACATATCAATTGTTTTTCTAAATAAAGAACCGCAAACATTTTTGTAACGCGATAAACTTTATCTTGACATTAAAACCAAGAATCAAATAAATAACGGCGAAACAGGATTAGCTGAAGGTCACTTTTTTTGCACTATTATTTGTGTGTAGCAAAAATAAAAATATAACGAGTCCGTTTTAATACTTACGAAATTGTTCCCGCGCTAACAATTTTATCTCTAAGTTCTCTAGGCAAAGAAGCTTCTTCTTCAGCCTCCTTAAAAGCAGTTTCTAAAATTCCATAACCCACAGATAATCCACCTCCAACCATATTATCCCATTTGCCTTAAATCAACAATATTAACACATTCTATATATTTAATTTTAAACAATTACCCTACCGGGCCATCGTTGTTTTGTCGCTGATCTTTGTTGTAACCATATACACAACCCCAATTTCGGATGTCTAACATAACCGTTAATATCAACGCCGTAATTCCTAATTCCAAATAGACACGTAGCCGATCGGTCCATTTTTAATAAACTCTGCTTATGAAATTCAGTTTTAACTTCGTATTCCTGTATTTAGAAAAAAAATAATTAAAAAAAAAAAAATCGTAATAAAATGGTGGTTAAAAACCTCATCTCGCCAGCCGCGTAGCGTGGAAAACTTATTTTCCTCTCGTAATTTCTTGAGGACTTCGTTTATTCGGGTGCTGCGCTCCTCGTAGTCTCGGAACGCCGGGTTTAACTCGACGAAACCCGACGTGACTCTGAAAACCTAAACTATTTGGTAACAAAGAACGAATTGACAACAGAATACCAAAAGAAATATTAATACTTTGTTTTTTAATAATTTGAAATAAGATAAAAAAAAAACATGAATAGAGATGATATTTAAATTATTAAGATAATTAAAAAAGATAAACCATGCCAAAAGTTTTTAATTGATCTTAAAATAAACTTGGAACAATTTTAGTTGTATACGAGGTCATAAGAATAACCAAAAAAATCTCTATTTGGGAAAATCATTATTTAAGCTTACGTTATTAAACCCAAGATATTCTATACAATTATTTTTGAAATTGTATCTGCTTTAAATTTTGAACTCTTTTTAACATTTTATTCCAAATAAATTTACCCCTACCCAGTTTACTATAAGTATACTATTAAAAAGTCATTTCCTGAAACATTCTCATTTGCCGGCTAAATGAATAATATACTATTAATACCATTGGGTTAAATCGTGTAAACGGATATAGAACAAAACTACACGGCAAAACTAATAAACTAACACTAGCTGTATCACTAGAACTAACACTAGACCTCTCAAGTTGAGCCGTGCGTCTTTTCAAAAAGTGTTTGACGTTTCGGATGCCATGAAAGCAGCATTCCGATTGAACCACATTTCCTGCGTATTGGCAATCGGAATGTCTTCTAGGAACTAATACAAGTTATTTTACAAAAAATTCAAATAAGATATTCCGGAAAGCCTGGGTGGTAAAATAAGAGGGCCGATGAAATTGTCACCAAGAAGACCACCCAGACGTTTAAGGAAAAAGTATGTTGGTAATGAGTAGAAGCAGTCGTATGAGGGTTTTCTTCGTGAGTTCAAAAATTAATAATCCCGTTTCTGGTAAAACAACATTCGTCAGTAACTAGGAGGCAGCTCAGGAAGTTAGTGTTTCGTGTACTTTTCCGAATTAACCACTGGCAGAAATTTCTGCGCTTGTTATAGTCTTCTGGCAATACATCTAGCACATGTGTAAGGTGATATGGATACAACTGTTGCTCACGCAATGTTCGCCATACGCTTCTACTCGAAACATCGAAACGATGTGACAATCTTCTGGTGCTAGTACTAGGAGATAACTGAACAGCATCGAATATCAATTCTTCAACATTAGCAGTTCGTCGAATCTTTTGTCGACCAGTGTTTATTCGTAAAGGGGCCACACACGATGATGCAAAACTGAAGCTAGTTTGCATGCGAGCAAATGTGAAACGAAAATGATGGAACACACGGTTCAAATTTACTTGTCAGTTTTAGTATCAATTTCGCAGTGAGTTGCAACTAAGAAAGGTGCGACTTGTTAACTACAGGTGTCCGCCGGGAAGGTATACTACTTTGTTTGTTTATAATTTTTGATTAAATGAAAGAGAATGGATCTTATATTGATAAATGTTTTATTTAATGTCGGCAATTATGTATGGAATACAATATCAGATAAATGTCCGCCTCTGTTAGCCTCACAAATGCGAGCCCTTTTGAGCACATTTTTCATTACATTCTCACACATTTCACGCGGCATTTCATTAATTTCATCACGAATATTTTGTTTGAGTTGCTCCAGCGTTTCTGGTTTGTTTGCATAAACCTTGCTTTTTAGATATCCCCACAAAAAGAAGTCCGGAGCAGTCAAATCAGGCGACCGTGGAGACCAATCAACATCACCATTTCTTGAAATAACTTGTTGTGGAAAGAGGTCTCGCAGTAATTCCATTGTAATCCTGGCTGTATGCGATGTGGCACCGTCTTGTTGATACCACATGTTAATCAAGCCCAAAGCATGCAGTTGTGGCGTTAAGAAGTTTTCAATCATATCACGATATCGCTCCCCATTGACAGTTACCGTTACGCCGTTTTCAGTTTCAAAGAAGTAAGGTCTAATGATTCCTCCTGACCAAATTGCACACCAGACTGTCACTTTTAATGGATGCAAAGGTGACTGATGAATAATTTGAGGGTTTTCCATTGCCCAGAACCGACTATTCTGTTTATTCACATATCCATTCAAATGAAAATGTGTCACTCATTATGATTTTTCATGAAAATCGGGGTTGTCATGGGCGAGCTATAACATCCTATTGGCATATGTACAGCGGCGTAAATGGTCTTCTGGAAGAAGCTCTTGTGTCAACTGAATCTTAAATGGAAACAAATGCAAATCCTTGTGCAAAATTGTGGCCAAAGTTGTTCTTTGAAGACCAAGCTCCTGAGCACGGCGTCGCATTGAGGTTGATGGATTGTTTTGAACACTTTCTTGAGCAGCAGTAATGTTTTCAACCGATCTTGCAGTACGTTGTGGTCCATGCTTGGGCCTATCAGCTACAGTCCCTCTTTCTTCGAAATCATTCACTACACGATAAATAGTGCGTCTTGTTGACNATTGCTGATGGGCGTGTGCCTTGGCAACACGATCGTGTTACATATCAAGAATAGTGGAAATGTTTTGAAAACGTACTTACATAACACTATTTCGTTATCATGCATAGTGTCCTTATTTATCGTAATCCTACTGTACGAATAAATAAAATAGATAAAGCTTTCTCCAGTTCTTTATTTAAAAATAATAGTATACATTATTCACTTAAAAATTGTGAATAATATTGCCCGGTTGATAATGGCGTGGCTAGTTGAGGATCGAAAGTTTGAAAATTGTAGAATGGCTGATATTTGATATTTCTTTAAAAACTTCCACTAGCAGCTGGTAACCATCATCCTTTTTAAAACTTAGAAGAATGGCATGAATCTCAGCCAGATCTCATAGTGTCATGCCTAGACCTGACAGCGTCATCAGTTTTGGAGCATAGATGACCACATTTGTTCGCGTGCAAATTTTACAGTTTTGCATCATAGTGTATGGGCCGGTTAAGTTTTAGCGTGCCAGTTTCCCAAAGACGTGTTTCAATGGCTTCAAACCTTTAAGATTTGGTATCCTTCTAGCGGGAAATTTTTCACGGTACCTTCGAACAACAGCAGCTCCATTTTTATGTACCTCGCCATAAATTAACAATATGTCTGTTTGTTCTGCAAAAGTGAACAAATTTGCGGTGTCTCCCTTAATAAATAATAAAAAATTAAATTCTTCGTACAGCACTAGAAAAATCAACACACCAACAGTGTTAAGCACTAATTAACACATTTAATAGTAGACATTTCATCATCTGTCAAGTAAAAAAATAATATGCGATTGTTATCCACTTGCTTAACGCAANCACTTAAAAATTGTGAATAATATTGCCCGGTTGATAATGGCGTGGCTAGTTGAGGATCGAAAGTTTGAAAATTGTAGAATGGCTGATATTTGATATTTCCTTAAAAACTTCCACTAGCAGCTGTGGAACCATCATCCTTTTTAAAACTTAGAAGAATGGCATGAACTGTCTCCACACGTACAAGATTGAATTTATACCACAGGTCATTTACGCTGTACGCCAGAGGTGGGCAAACAGTCGATCGCGAAGAGATCGGCAGGAGATCACAAAAGTTTTTCAAATACTATTTAGTGAATATAAACCCAATTTTAATAATCTCAGTGATAAAATGGAATGCCATGCGTCCACATCCAAAAAATGAATTATATATATTGACATGAATAAATAATTACCATGCATAACGCATTGAATTACCATTCAATGCGTTATTTTTTTCCTATTTCTGAAAATGTCGATCGCCATTAATCAGCTAACATTTACGTCGATCATTGAACATTAAACTTTGCCCACCCCTGCTGTACGCCATATCCCTCTGGAATGGTCTCCCCATGGATATTAGAAACGCTCCAACCCTGTCATCTTTCAAGACTTGTCTTACACATTCCTCTTCTCCCGTCATATTGCGATCTTGTAATATTTTACTTCCTTTTCTTCTTTTCTACTTTCTTTCCTATGTTCCTTATTCACCTTCTTTCTTTTCTGCTTTGTTACTCTGTGCATTTCTTACACTTTTCTTCCCTCCTTTTTGTTGTTTGTTTTTTTTCTTTTTCGCTTTTGGTTAATTATGCGTGCGTTAATTACTTACTATTCTGTATGGTGGTATCATTGTAATATAGTTTAGACTGGGTCGATTGGAAGATATCGTCTTTGGCGATAAATCGTTCCGTTTGTCAGAATTGAATTTATGATTTGTTTTTTGTTACACTACCGCCGCTAATATAGGATAATTATAATAATGTACAATTTTCCTTTGTTCTTTTATGGCAATAAAGTATGTTTATTATTAAAAAAAAAAAAAGATTGCGCACGTCGGGCTGTGCAAAATCAAGTTCAGCCAGATCTCATAGTGTCATGCCTAGACCTGACAGCGCCATCAGTTTTGGGGCATAGACGACCACATTTGTTCGCGTGCATTAGCTCTGCGTGCAAATTTTACAGTTTTGCATCATAGTGTATTGGTATCCTTCTAGCGGGAAATTTTTCACGGTATCTTCGAACAACAGCAGCTCCATTTTTATGTACCTCGCCACAAATTAACAATATGTCTGTTTGTTCTGCAAAAAGTAACAAATGGTGTCTCCCTTGATAAATAATAAAAAATTAAATTCTTCGTACAGCACTAGAAAAATCAACACACCAACAGTGTTAAGCACTAATTAACACATTTAATAGTAGACATTTCATCATATGTCAAGTAAAAAAATAATATGCGATTGTTATCCACTTGCTTAACGCAATACTTTCAGATACTTTACTTCAACTTTAAATATAGCCATCAAATCCAAGACCTATAAGTTTAACCAAACGAAGACTAAATAAAATAGTGCGTTTATAACCGTGATGCTTATCGTTTCAACATCAAACGTTAATCGTTGAAATCCTAAGAATTCTTATTTACTCATTTTCTGATATATCACACGTTTCGTGATCCCAAAATAAAGAAACAATGATATTTCTGCACCTGACCTCAAATACTAGTGAGATCACCGAATAAACTAAAGTATACTGTATATTACCGGAACAAAAATCAACATCTCTAAATTTTAATAAATCCACAACATT